CTCATGGTTCCAGTAGAGGAAAGAAACACTGATACTTTAGTAAAAGATTCAGAAAATAGAGTATTAAACCAAGAAATAGAGAACTGGGACTGTAGTTTGATTAATAGGAATGTTGTAAAGATAGATGATTTAGAGTCAGCCCAAAACTCAGAAGATATATACACAAGTAACCCTCTAGAAAATAATAATAATTGTACAGAGAAATTTAATGAAGCAATGTTATGGCATGTTAGACTAGGTCACGCATCATTAAACGACTTAAGAAAACTACAGAAGATTAATAAAAAGATGGAAAAAGTAAAATTTGATGAGGCCATATTAAAATGCGAAGTCTGTATTGTGTCAAAGATGCAGAAATTACCTTTTAGAGAGACTAGTAAAAGAGCTGAAAGGCCACTTCAAATTATACATACGGATACGATGGGTCCTATAACACCCACATCACATCCTGGACAAAAGAGGTTCATCAACGTTTATATTGATGATTATTCAAGATTAGCCAGAGCATATTCGATTAAAACAAAAGACGAAGCTGGAGAATCGTTAAAGAAATTTTTGATTTCTACTCGTAACTTATTAGGGAAAAATCAAAAAGTATGCTACATCAGGGCAGACCAAGGAACTGAATTCACTGGAGGAAAGTGTTTAGAGATTATGAAAAAAGAAAATATAGAGACAGAGTTCGCGTCACCATACACACCTGAACACAATGGAGTAGCTGAAAGGTTCAATGCTACGATTCAGAAAAAAGTTAGAGCGTACATGTTTGATTCTGGTTTACCTAAAAGCATGTGGGAATTAGCTGTTGACACAGCGGTACACGCATACAATAGGACTCCACACAAATCAATCAACTATAAGATTCCATTGACAAAATTTGCACCAAATGCGAGTTGCCACTTAGATTTAGATGTATCGGATATATAAAGGTTCTAAAACAAAATTTGAAGTTTGAAGAGCGAGCTATAAAAACAGTCCTAGTAGGTTATACGCCGACAGGATATCTGTTTTGGCATCCAGGTTCAGGGAAGTTTTTCGAATCGAGACATGTTAGATTTAATGAAAAACTTGTTTACAAAAATGTTGACAAGAACAATAATTTAGAACAAAACATAGGAATAGCACTCAAAATAGAAAACAAAATTGATTGGAACTGGGTGAAAGTCCAAAAGGAATAGGAACCAGAAAAACCTGAACCAAAGAAAAGAGGAAGACCGCGCAAGAAACAATCAGATGTAAAGAATTCAGTGGAGAAAAGAGCAGAAAAGAATATAACTAGACCAAACACCAGAAGTTAAAATAAGAGAAAATTAGAGAACAACGAGAAAGTTCCGCAAGTCAAGAGATCCATAGAAGATACAAGTTTTATTAAATTCATAAATACTTTTAGAAGAAGATGAAGAATTGAGATGTCTCATAGCTTTAATCAACAAAGAACCTGCAAATTTTAAAGAAGCTATGAGATCTGAAGATGCAACTTTGTGGAACAACGCAGTGAAAGAAGAACTGGATTCTATAAATGAAAATAGAGTGTGAAAATTGGTAGATAGGCTATATATATATTGTAAAATATTTGTATGTCGCCATCTGATGACTATTAGACTAACGACAGTTTGTTGGTTAACGACGATTGCTTAACGATTAGATTGTTTATAGCAACGAGGGGAGAGTTTGCTTATCGCCAGTTTTTGACTGAGATTTGAGTTGACCTAACGTATTCTTTCTAATTAATTAATAGCTGTCAGTCTTTAATAAACTTTTTCATTATTTATTAATTTTCTGAAGTTATTATTTAGATTTACTTTAATATATATATATATATATATATTCTTGTTCAGTATAATTTTCTCTATAACATACTAAAATTTCAACGAAATCGGAGGAGTGTAAGCTTAACTAGATAATTACCAGGCATATTGTTGTTTCAGAATGTCCTATTAAATTAAGCGTGAGCCTATTAAATATTTTAATAGGATCTTATTACCACAAAAAAAAGTATACACGAAAGAAAATTTATAATTTGATCTGGAGATTTTTTTATTTATACGGATTTGTTGTTTAAATATACATCTGAAATGAAATTTATTAGTAACTTTGTCCGAAAATATCCTGCTGATGGTGAGATTCGATCCTGGCATCCTCGGGTCCACAGTGCTATTCTAAAACATGGAAACATGACTTTCGCCTAATCTATTTGAGTTAAAAATCAAAAATAACTTTAACATTTATCAAGTTTGCTCTTTAGCGAGTATTTTAAAGTAGAGACAGAATAATTGTCATTTGTAAAAATATGACGGGTAAAATGCAACTTAGAAATTATATCTTTATCCCAATGTCCCACGATAGGATCTTATATTATTTAAATGAAAACAGTTAAAACAATTTCTGTAGAAAATCAATGGATTCAAAAGGAAAATACGACTTAAAAAATATTTTCTTGTTTTGAAACTGTTCTGTAGAGTTTGATGTCTCTTATAATCGAATTAATATCTATATTTTTCTATAAGAAAGAAGATGATTAAATAAAATAAAACGATATAATAAAAATTTTTTGACTATTGGACTATTGGACACTGGTTAAATTCCAGTCAAATAATCGAACCAAAATTCAACCGTTTTTTCCCGGCTAAAAAGCGGGAGAATAACTCTCATATCTAACTCAATATTCCCGGTTAAATCTTGGTTCGATTCCAGTTGAACACGAAAAAAATATTAAGCTTTTAACTGAAAAGAAAAACCGTTGGATATCTGTTAAAAACTACTTAAGTATCTAAAATAATTTTATATAAATTATTTTAGTTATTTATTAAATTTTATATATCCTGACGTATAGAACGGCTAACTATTGATTAAATAATTAAAATAAATCTCGCATACTCAACTGGAAGAAAAAAGTTAAATATTAGTTGAAAAAAAGTTAAATTTCAGTTATAAAAAAAAAACATAATATTTCCAGTTAATAATTGACTTTTTAACTACTCTCGTGAGTATAATTCATTTATAACAGCCTGTGATTGTTATAAATAATTAAAAAGCGTTAATAATTATTGGATTTGAGTTTTTTCAGCGGAATTTGTTAACTTCCCAGTGGGAAGTTATAGTAATGGGTTCGATTTTGCGAATCCCGAATTTTGACATATCTCCACGTTTTAAGGTCCCCAGAGTCGAATACGATCGTTTTCCAGTGGACGTCTGTGTGTGTGTCAATGTACGTATGTGCGTTCGAAATTATTTTTTGCCTCGATTATGTCGAGAACAAAAAATGATATCGATGTGGGACCAATTGCATTCGACGCGTAATTATGTAACTTAGAACTAATTAGATTTTCATCAAATAAAAAAATTTTAACAAACAAAATCAGCAATGAAAGAATTTTAAATTCGTGTCAGGATTGAGAAAACAGCATTAAAGACGCTATAATAGTCAATAATAATTGTCAATAATATGGAATTGTGTTTATAACAATTGAACATTGTTACTAACAAGTGATTATTGATCATAGTAATATTTAAATAATAAGTTTTAAATTGCTATACACAATAAAAATAGGGACCCTTTCTATGTATATGAGTACTTTTAACGCATAATTTTTTCTTTTACTAAAAAAAATGTTACCAACCGTATGACATAAATGAAAACATACTTTTTTCGTGTATAACAATGAAATTTGTTGTAAATAATGAAAAAAAGGATCTATGAGGTATATTCGAATTCTTCTAACGCACAATTTTTTCTTTTACTGAAATAAAGTAACTAACCATATCAAATAAATAAAAACAGACTCATTTCGTTTATAACAATTCCATTTGTTATAAAGAATGGAAACGGGTACTATTCGATTTGTTTTTTAATTTTTTCCACGGGGAAGTTGGTCGTTTGGACCTTTCGAGTCGCACCCAGACCACTGCAGAGCACTGATATTTCAATATTGACATGATAAGGTATCTGATGACTTTAGAACTACTCTCGCGACTATCATGTGACTTCAATCATTTTGCCTTTAAATCAAGGCATTTTGCAAACTCTAAAATTGAACTATCAATATCATCTAGCTAATTCTATTTTAAGTGTACAAGGGAATAATATCACACTGATTGATTATCTAAAAGCAATAAAAATAAGACCTCTAATTTTTTAGGTTGCTAGGAAGCATAGAAGGATATGAAACCTTTTACAATTTATAAACATTGGAAAAAACTGCAGACCATTAAAAAAAGTGAAATTGCAACGCAGACTGACGATTTACTAGTTGATATGTTACCTTTAGATGGCCTATTAATTAATAAAGGTTTATTTTGGTTAATTAATTATTGTACACCTTTGATCGAGTTAATCCAGCAATCCTGCATTCATTTTTTACTTAACATAAAAAAATCTAATATTTTCCCAACGAAAATGATGTATTTTTCCTCAACTCTGTTCAGATCTGGTCAGAACATAAAAAAACATCCAAATAAATCTACATAAATCTATAATCTGATTAGATCTGCATAGTCTCATAATACAGATCTGGATGGATCTGAACTCGTTTTTCACGGGCATAGCTGATATAAGCTTTTTCTAAAGTTTGAAAGCTCAAGAAAATTTTTTTGAAAAAAATAATTTCACGTATTAAGATAACCCTGGAGTTCAAGACATTGCTTTCTGGTTTTGGAGATTGCAAGTTCGAGTTTCTCAACGAATATAATAATTCGAAACCCATAAAAATCAAGAAAACTTTTTAAAATTTCAGAAAGACAAAAGCTTATAAATTTATAAAAACATGCATTATTTATGTTTCGGGCTTAATTAAGGTGAAAAGCACAAACTAAAAAATTCAAAACTAAACAAGAATTTACACATTACTATAAAAATATATTCAAAAATTTTTCAGTCGTGAGTAATCCATTTTATAGTCCTAAAATATTTACGCTCAATTTTTATTCAGATATTCATCCTGTAAAAATTGACTTAAAGTTATTATATCAAAGCTAACAGAAATTCAAAAACAGTTTCATACCGATCTTCTTTATCCTTTTCTTTCTTTTTTTGACTGTCTAATTTTGCTTTTTCTCGTTTTTCTTTCTCTTGTTGAATGATGTTCGCAACGTTTGTATTCTTTTCAATCATACCAGTTCCAATAAATTCTTTTTCTTCATCTTCTTCATCACTTTTTCCTTCAGCTGACGTTTGACTATACTGAGCTAGAATAGTTTCACGGATACGGCGCTCTTCGTCAGTATAATTTCGCTGGGTAATAGTAGGAATAGATTGTAATTCTAACATTCTGGCTAAACGAACATCCATATCTTCAATGCATGAACCAGAATTTATTCCGTCTCTAGAAGAGAGCCAATCTATCCATGTGGACAGAATTTCTGATACATGGATACTAGTGTCATTTTCCTGAAAGTAAAATATGGAATTAGAAAAAATAAAATTTTTTCAACTTTAATTCGTTAATGATGAAATTAGTACATTTCACACCTAGGGAGGAAAAGTAGACTAGCTTAAATCAAGTGTACAATTACAACCCGAGCCGAAAGCGAAAAAGGTGAAACACGTGATTTAAAATAGTCTAATTGTGTTCCCACTTTTTCATTATCGAAAGGTTGAACTTAGGTATGACGAAAAATCATATTTAGCCCAACTCATTGTTAACCGTTTATTAATTATTTATGTTTTATTAATCAAGTTATGTAGCTACATTAAGATTTGTAATTTACTATCAAATATATTGTCGGTTAATTTATTGTTTATTTTTCAAACATTCCAACCATTGTTTAAAAAAAAATGAGACAATTTTTTTTCTAAATTTGTTACTTATTTCTATCATATTTGAGCCAGAAAAAATGAGAAAAATTTTTGATGTCTAGTTGTTACTCTTTCTTAAAAATACAAAAAAAATTTCATTTCTTTTTATATCAAATAAAAAAAAGAAATTTTTCCTACCGACGTACAATGGATAAGTTATCCAAATATCTAGTAACAGATATGTACTGATAATCTTTCTTTTATATTTGAGTTTCTTAAAATATATTTAAGATTAAGCTTTACATTAAAAATTTTGCCCTATTAGATGTAGCAGAAAGTACCAGAAAAATGATAACAAAATACATCCTTATTACTGCGTATTATTGTATAAAATAATTTTATTTATGATATGAAAGGTGACAAAGACACTGACAATGATTCTTTCGAGCGAGAAATCAGTAAAAAAAGAACAATTATTTTTTCTTGACGGCCATGAAGCATGAAAAATCTAGTAGTAATTTGATAACAATTTTCTTTCGAATCAAATATTTTTAAAATATGAATTAATAAAATGAAATATTTGACATCAGTATCCTACATGAAATAATTTTTATGTTTACACAAAAATCAGTAGGTAAAATTGCAAATTGCCTGATAAATTAGTTATTTTCCGACTCCTGGAAATTTTCTAGGGGGGAAACTAAAGTACAGCACAGCTTCAATTTCTATTAGTATCCTTACCGTAACACTTGATAATAAGTTTTGAAGCGCTTCATTTTTTTCATCTTCAGAGTCATCACTTTCTAATATTCCTTTTATGTATGATCCGAATATTCCTTCATCAGTGTTCAAGGATCGTAGCTTTTTCAACAACCAATCGTCAAATGAATTAATAGCAACAGCCATATTCAATTCGTAGTAATGTTATCAATAAAAATTTGAATTACTCTGAGATGAAATGTTTTTTATTTGATTTATTTCATTGTTGTTACACGACTTGCTTCAACTTTGAGTACAGTTAAACTAGCAAAAGAGGAATACATGTACAGTATGTATGTACAGTACCGGACATAAATGTTTAAGGCTGGGCTGAAGTCAGAAAGGCGACTGATTCCCCCTATCCAAATATATGGGTTCGGGAAATTTCTAATTTCTTCGCCAATTTACGATTATTTCTATAAAATTAGGTACCAAATTACAGAAAAATTAATGCCGGACTGACGTAAACAATAATTTTTTGTATATAGTGAATATTTTTATTAAAAAAATTAGAAAGAATAATGAAAAAATTATGAATTGACTTGCCGCGCTTAAATTTCAAGATGGCGGCCACATCATTCAGATGAAAAATCACTAATTATTTCATTTTTATACGTTTTTCGCCCAAAATTCGTGTTTGCGTCAGTCCTTGCCACCTGTCTGAATGTCGAAAAAATCAATTTATAGCATAAAATTGAATAATTTAGAAATAATTAGAAATCTTGTATTCCAGATGATTTTCTCCGGAAAATTAGTTTGAAAAAATTCTGATAGGTGACAGCATTATGCTCGCAGATGACCTCAGTCATTCATATTGAAAAAATGCTCAATCCGGGAGCGTGACATCCGTCCCCAATAAGATGTCAGTCAAAGGCATTTTTACAATCTTTTAAATTTAAATCTTTAAATGTATAATCTTACTGATTGTTAATCAAATTCTATGATGCCCAGATTTTTTATCTAATGATCATTTTAAAAATAAGCTTTATTCTTTTAATTTTTTAAAATTGGTTTTTTTTATTTTCAATCATTTAATATTCAATCAAATTATAAAATTTTTTCTTTTTTTAATGTTTATCATTTCGTTGAACAATCAACTTAAGAAATTAGGACTGGTAAGTTATCTTGCGTCGGTATAGTAGAAAAAAATTCAACTAGTGTCACTGTTTTCTAATAGATGACAGTAATTACACTGTTTTCAATCAAAAATTAAAAATGCTTATACAAAAAAAAGTCTTCTTTCTGGCTCATGTAATGTCATGTAATTCCCACTACATAAATAAGTATATTTAGGCTTATAATCTAATGATAATAACATTTTCATCTTAATGTTAGCGTAATAACGTAATCCAAGTGAAAAAAATTTGAAAACTGAATTATTAAAAAGTTGAAAAACTTCAAAAATAATGTCTGTCAGTATTATTCTCTTCTTTAATAAACATAAACGATTTTCGTGCAACGAAAAAAAAAAGTTTTATTACTTAAGTTTTTATAAAAATAAATCAGTATTTTTAATGAATACCTTAATTTAACTGAATTTAAATATAAATATAATATGAATATAAATTTATTAATAAATTTTAATATAAATCACTACTTAATTCAATTATTTTAAAATAAAATAATCAGGGTCAATTAAAGAATTCAAAAATCATTCCTGAAGTTATAAGTATAACTTTTATTTATATTTAAGAAAGTTTACATTTGCTGGTATCTCTTTAACTTTGGTTTTCTACACTTCCAAATTATGAGCCACGTTGTCTCAGCTCCCATCGAATATTTGTGCGTTCAACTACTGCCTACAAATATTCTGACAATGTCATCCTATATATAAATTGATATTATAACAAATGTGTTTTAATATTTACCCAAAAAATTACTTTTTTGTGTTGAAACTAATTGTCGTGTGAACTAAATTGAGTAATAATAAAAATTTAATAGGATCTTAATTTTATTTCTCTTCAATACATAATGTATAATTTATTTGTGTGAAAATTTATTTTGTTTTTAAAAAAATATGTCATTAATGAAAAAAGAGTTTGAAATAAAAATTATATTGAAAAAAAACCTGTTTAAAAAATTTCATTACACGATGGAAGAAACTAACTTCATTAGAAAAGTTAAACTAAGCGTAAATTAATGATACAAATAATATATTTTATTTTATTTATAATTACGATAATACTAGAAGACTGTGTTACTGATAGTCAATTAAAACACAAACTAACTGAAGAAATAGCAAGTAATTCAGTAACTTAAATGATTGATGAAACAAAAAAGGAAATATATTGAAGAAAAATTCAATTTAAAAGTAAAGTATTTTTTTATTATTTTGAATTGTGTAATTGATATTGTAAAGAAATTAACTCAATATAACTTGATGTGGTATATCTCTAACGATAAAAAATATCGATATAAGTAATTGGTTTTGAAGAAAATTATGCTCCATTTCAAGAAGATCAATCTAATATTTATTTTTGGTAAGTAAAGTTGCTATTAAACAGTTCAAAATTTAAAATCATATAAGCATTTTTAATTTTTGATTGAAAACAGTGTAATTACTGTCATCTATTAGAAAACAGTGACACTAGTTGAATTTTTTTCTACTATACCGACGCAAGATAACTTACCAGTCCTAATTTTTTAAGTTGATTGCTCAACGAAATAATAAACATTAAAAAAAGGAAAATTTTTATAATTTGATTGAATATTAAATGATTGAAAATAAAAAAAAGCAATTTTAAATGATTAAAAGAATAAAGTTTATTTTTAAAATGATCATTAAATAAAAAATCTGGGCATCATAGAATTTGGTTAACAATCAGTAAGATTATACATTTAAAGATTTAAATTTAAAAGATTGTAAAAATGCCTTTGACTGACATCTTATTGGGGACGGATGTCACGCTCCCCTCAATCCGTATCCAGAACTGATGGTGCCCTGCATTTTGGTGAGTAATTTGTGTATGAGTGTGTACGGGTAATATATGTATGTGATGTAAACATAGTGTATCGCTTTACAATGCCTTATACTTTGATGACTATTGCAGTTAGAATAAATAAAAATGATGATACTCATTTAACATTAATTAATATAATACCTGAAAATAACTTCAACAAATATTCATCCATTATTATCATTTTTATTAGGTATAAATGTTAATCAAAAAGCTCAATTCCGAGTCGGCGTATCCAAGCATGTAGTATAAAAACAAATACACATAAACTCAATATCGAGATTATGCTGGCCATGTGGTTAGAGCGTCAGAGTTCTATTTTGCCGGGCAGGGTTCGATCCTAGTCATAATCACTTTTTTTTCTACTTTATTCGTTAGATTAGCATGTAATTATAATATTGACATGCCATAATTGATCCATTATAATGATTTGATTTTTTTTTCTCTTTACTCATTGAATTTATTGACACTAAGTCAGAAAATATTTGAACAGAGCCATAAACTTTTCTTTTGTATAAATACATTGATAATAGCCTGTGTTTAACAACTTTTACATCTTTACATGTATTAACAATGTTATGTTATTAACAAGTTAATCATATTATAATTAACATTGAAAAGTAGTTTAAACAATCTGTGGCGAGTTTCGGCACTTTCCCGGCAAGCTCTACCCCCACTCTCTGTGCCCAAGCCTGCAGCTTATAATTTTTAAGCATATATCAGCGTACTGAAACCATAACAGCTCAGTGGTTACAGCATCGGTCTTTTATTTTGCTAGGCAGGGTTCGATTCCAGTCATGATAAAGTTTTTTTTTTCTCTTTTATTTGTTAGATTTGCATGTAATTATAATATGAACATGCTAAAATAAATTCTTACCAACGATTTGATTTTTTTTTCTCAATTATTTAGGTAATTGATCGACGCCGAGTCGGAAAACATATGAACAAGGTTATAAACACGTTTTTTACTATAGCTATATGAACGTAGCTTTTTTTTAAGCAATTTAGAAATATTTAGAAGTAGTTGAAATAATCCACGGGGATTTCCGGCACTTCGCCGGCAAACTCTATCCCTACCCTTCGTACTCAAGCCTGCATTATACAATTTATAAACATAAACGTAATGTCAGAGATGATGTGTTAGCTCTGTGAGTAGAACACCAAGCTTTCATTTTACCGATTAGGGTTCGATCCCAGTCATAGCCAATTTTTTTTTTCCTTTTTTTTTCATTAAAATTTTATATAAATACAATAATTGGTTGTTTATATAAGTTCAAAATCAATTCCTATTGTCTTTTAAAGACAACACTTTCGAAAAAAGAGAATTCATAGTAACTCGTTCCTCACCCTCAGCTTATTTTCAGAAAAACAAGTTGTTTTCCGTAATTAATTGGAAGAATAATTTAATCAAATATATGAATTAATTTATAAGTATATAAAGTCACTTAAGCAAAAAAAAGAAAAAACAATTGCCTATGACTGGGATCGAACACTGCCCGGCAAAATAAAAGATTGGTGCTCTAACCACTGAGTTATTATGGTTTCAATAACATTAAAGATGCTTGAAAATTATAAGCTGCAGCAGAGAAGAGAGACCACCATAGAAGTCCAATGCTGTGTTAAAAATCCGGACGGAGTTTCGGTCAACATGTCGGTATTTTGGGTCAACATATCGGTAATCTCAGGTCACAACATAAAAGCTTCTGTGAACCCAACACATGATGGCGCTGCTCCGAATTATTTGAGCCACGCCTCCCAATCTAAGAGAGAGGAAAGACAAGATTTGTGTTCTCCTTTACTCTCATTGTGAATATCCCAATGCAGTTAAATTCCTAACACAAGCTCTCGTCCCTCAAATAAGAAGAAAATTGGACTTAAATTGAGTAACCGTTCTTATAGCCACTCATTTGTAGAGAATTGGATTCTCTATTAAATAAAATATATTTTTTTTTGCAATATTGTTTATAACAAAAAAAAAGCAAAAAAAAATTGAATTACAAAAACAAAGAGCATTTAATCCTCGCTAATGAGTGGCTATATTTGCTGCTATAGTAGTTTTATAAAAAACTTTTAACCAAAATAGAAGAGGCATGAAAAATTAAATGTAGGACCCGCACTTATGCCACTGGAACTTTTTTCTAAGTCCTGAATCCCCCGAATGTGAGGAAAATCTGACTCAGATTGAGTGACCGTTTTGAGGCCACTCATTTGTAGAGAATTAAACTCTCTATTACTACCTGAAGATTAAATTCTCTTTGTTTTGTTATTTTATTTTATTTTGCTTTTTTTTTGTTATAAACAACAATAGAAAAAAAAATATATTTTATTTAATAGA